ACAGCAGCAGCAGGGACAGCGGCAGCAGCAACAGCAGCAGCAGGAACAGCGGCAGCAGCAACAGCAGCAAAAACAGGTATATTTGAGTGTATACACAGCAGCGGGAGGCGAAGGGGTGGCGGTGGCTCTGCATGCAACAGAGATTATGGAGGGGCAGCAGCAGGAACAGCAGCAGCAACAGCAGCAGCGACAGCAGCAGTAGCAGCAACAGGAACAGCAGCAGCAGCAGCAGCAACAGAACCCCCAGCAGCAACAGCATCCAACCACCACAGTACCACCAACACCAGCACCAGCAGCACCAACAGCAGCACCAACAGCAGCAGCAGCAGCACCAACAGCAGCACCAACAGCAGCAGCAGCAGCACCAACGGCAGCAGCAGCAGCAGCAGCGCCAACAGCAGCACCAACAGCAGCACCAACAGCAGCAGCAGCAGCAGCAGCACCAAGAGCAGCAGCAGCAGCACCAACAGCAGCAGCAGCAGCACCAACAGCTGCAGTAGCAGCAGCACCAACAGCAGCACCAACAGCAGCAGCAGCAGCAGCACCAACAGCAGCACCAACAGCAGCAGCAGCAGCAGCAGCAGCAGCAGCAGCAGCAGGAGGTTTACCCCGACACCTTCAGTGAGCCTTTCTCCTCTCCACCAGGCGAGGAGATCTATAAAAGAAAAAAAAAAAGAACCCCACCGGAACGGCACACGCTCCCGTGCAAATATCTTCCCTGCAGCAGCAGCAGCAGCAGCAGCAGCAGCAGCACCAGCAGCAGCAGCAGCAGCAACGGAAGAAATAGGGATAACAGATGGAGAGAGACAGCTGCAGCAGGAGGAGAGGAGATGCAGCAGCAGCAACAACAGCACACTAAAACAACAAAACGAGCAGCAGCAGAAACAGCAGCAGCAGCAAAAGCTGCTGCTGCTGCTGCAGCAACAGAAGCAGCAGCAGCAGCAGCAGGACATGCAGCAGCAACACACCTTGACATTCATACACAATGTGTAGCTCCTCAGCTGGAGGGGGCAGCTTCTGCAGCATCTGCTGCAGCAGCAGCAGCATCGTTTTCAGGCTCGGGGTTTCGCTGCTGCTGCTGCTGCTGCTGCTGCTGCTGCTGTTGCTGCTGCTGCTGCTGCTGCTGCGATAGCTGTTGCTGCAGTGCATGCGCTGCATCTGCTGCTGCGTCTCCTGAATGCCTTGCAGCAGCAAAGGTGATTGAAACGGCTCGAGGACTTCTTCTCCTTCTGCTGCTGCTAGCTGCTGCAGCACCTGCAGCAGCTGCTGCGGCTCCTGCTGCTGCAGCAGCTGCACCATGAAGCTGTAGATCTATAGAAACAACAGCAGCAGCAGCAGCAGCAAGAGCAGCAGAATCAGGAGCAGCAACAAGAGTGGCAGCAGCAGCAACAGCAGAAGCACCAGCACCAGCAGCAGCAGCAGCAGGAGCAGCAGCAGCAGCAGCAGCAGGAGGAGTGTGTACCTGCAGCTGAATAGCAGCAGTTTGCTTCTGTGCTAGCGAGGGGACCGTTGGCTGTCTCCTTGTCTTTGTGTCGGTGATGAGGGCAGCTGTCTCCTTTCTACACCCCACACGATATACACTACAAACCAAGCAGCAGCAGCTGCTGCAGCTGCTGCAGCTGCACCTATTCATCCTGCTCATGCTGCTGCTGCTGCTGTTGCTGCTGCTGTTTTTGTTGTTCTTGTGCAGCTGCTTCAGCTGCTGCAGCAATGGGGTGTATGTACACCCCACGTCCTCTCTAACAACCAGACTCAGCTCATCTATTATACCCCGCAGCAAAATATCGCTGCTGCTGCTGCTGCTGCTGCTGCTGCTGCTGCTGCTGCTGCTGTTGGAGATAGCGGGATTGGGGTTAGCCAGGAGATACACCTCTCTGCAGCAGCCGCGACGCAGCAGCTGCAGCAGCTGCTGCAGTGAGTTCAGCAGCCTAAAACCCCAAAACTGCAGCGGCAGCAGCAGCAGCAACAGCAACAGCAGCAGCAAAAGCAGCAGCAGCAGAAGCGAAGCAATAAGAAGCAGCGGAGAACGGATGCAGCAGCAACAATAGCATCAACACGAACAGCAGCTGCAGCAAGAGCAAACACACCAGCAGCAGCAGCAACAGCAGCAGCAGCAACAACAGCAGCCGCATCAACAGCAACAGCAACAGCAGCAGCATCAATAGCAACAGCAACAACAACAACAACAACAACAACAACAGCAGCAGCAGCAGCACCAACAGCAGCAACAG